AAGTGCCCATCAACAGATGAATGGATAACTAAACTATGGTACATACATACAATGGAATATTTGTTGTTGTTGTTGTTATGTGCCGTCGAGTTGGACCCGACTCATAGCGACCCCTCCTTGGGTTTCTGAGGCAGTATCACTATGGAAGTAGATTGCCCAGCCTACCTTCCTAGGAGTGGCTGGTGGGTTTGAACCGCCAGCCTTCTAGTTAGCAGTCAAGTGCCTTAGGCATTACGCTACCAGAGCTCCCCTATACAACATTAAAGAATAACGCAGAATCCGCAATCAGTTCATAATGTATGAATTTGGAGGATATTATGTTGGGTGAAATAAGTCAATCACAGAAGAACAAATATTATTTGAGTCCATTATAAAAAATCAGGGAAAAGTTTACACAGGGAGGAAATAATCTTTCTTGGTTACCAGAGATAGGAGGAGAGAGGAAGGGAGGGAAAATAGATGGATGATTAAGAAACAGGTTTGACATTGGTGAAAGGAAAAGGAATATAATTTTGTGATATGACCAGCACAATATTACTAAGGAAAAGGAAGACACAGAGATGTGCACAAGAGGTACAGACAATAAAGACAAGTACTATTGCATACATTATACTGCATTATCAGTAACAGCAAACAGTAATCCATAGGTGGATGTATAGGTAGACTGGCAAGAAAATTAGATATGGATAGGTGAATGAGAATATATATATGCTGGGGACCATGATCACAGGGAACATCAAACTTAATTGACACAGCAAAGTATATAAAGATACTGTTCTACACCTTACTTTAGTGATTATAGACTGTGGTCTTAAATAGACTGCCATCTTAAAGGCTGTGAGTGGCCATCTAAGATGCAACTTTTGGTTTCTCTGGAGCAAAGAAGAGTGAAGAAAATCAAAGACATGGAAACAGTTAGTCCAAAGGACTAATGGACCATGAGAACTTTCACCTTCATGACCCTGAGACCAGAAGAAGAACTAGATGATGCCCTGCTACCATTGTCAACCACTTGGAAAGGTTTCAAAATTGAAGATCCTAGATAAAATGGGAGAAGAAAAAAATGTGGAACAAATTTGGAAAACATGTAAAAGACCAGGCTTACTGGTCTGATAGAGACTGGAGAAACCCCAAGACTGTGGTCCCAAGTCACCCTTTGAGCCCATAATTGAACTCACTCCTTGCCTTAACTCTTAGCCAAACAATAGACAGGCCTACTAGCCAAACAACTATAACAGGGAGATGTATTCCTTAGAACAACCAACCATAGGAGATCCAGAAGAGCAGCATTTGCACAGGGAGAAAGGTAGGGAGGCAGGAATACATAGGCAAGAAGGACACAAGGAAAGGGTAACCACAGGGAGGAAGTGGGAGATGAGCTGTTTTACTGTAGGGAATGTCACTAAACAACATGAATATGAACCGTTAAATGTAAAATGAATCTGCTTTGTACAATTTCACCTAAATCACAATAAAATTTTTAAAAAGAAAGTGTAAAGATAAGCCACAGACTGCAAGAAAATATTTACAGTACCTATTATATAACGGTTCAAACCCACAAGCCACTCCTTGCAAGGAAGGTTGGGCAATCTGCTTCGGTAGTGATACTGCCTTGGAAACCCAAGGAGGGGTTGCTATGAGTCGTTTGGACTCGAGGCACATAAGAACAACATTATATAAGAAAGGACTTACATCCAGAATATATATAAATAACTGTTACAACTCAATACTAAGAAAGCAAACAATCTAATAAAATAAAATTCAAAAGATTTGAATGGATACTTCCTAAAAGGAGACATATGAATGGTCACGTTCAATGTTGCCATTATTTATCATCAAGGAAAGGCAAATTAAAACCCGAAAGATATGCCACTGTAGATGTCAGAATGGCTAATATTAAAAAGAATGTTACTTCTTTTACACTGCTGATGGAATTGTTAAATAGTACAATCACTTTAGAAAATAACATGGGTCTTTTATATAAAGTTGCACTTCTTCTATCAGATGTTCACCCAAGAAAAATAACATATGTTCAAAGAAAGCCTTATACATGAATGTTACAGTAGGTTTACTTGTAACAATCAAATATTGGGAACAGTCCCCAAATGTCCATCAGCAAAGAAAAGATAGGCAAATTTTGATGTATGTATGCAATGGAATGCAGGCAGACACTGAATTAGGGCAGGATTCCATTTTGTCATAGGACAGTTCTAATGTAAGTCAAATACCTCATTTCTTCTTCTTCTTTTTTTTTTTTCATTATTATTATTACCTTTTGTTATCAGTATCTTTATAAATCTGATCTTTATTTGTCTTTGGAGCATGGAAACATTACACATATAAATTTACAGATATATTTCGATATACACATATATACATAAATAATACAAAAATCATACAAATTTTCTCTGATGAACTGAATGATGATGGCATTTTGTCAGCTGTGATAATAACTCCATTTGTGGAAGGTTCTCAATCACAAGGATTATCTTTGGGAATGAAGATGGCATCTCTAGTCAGAAAATTAGTGAGAGTTGTCTGTATGATCCTTTTCTTTTTTCCTTCATACATTTCACAGTAATTTCTCATTGCTTTCTAAATCTGGCTATCAACTTTAGCTAAGTGATCAGCATTTGGGTCCACGTTTTAAAGCAACTGAAGCCCCTGATTTAGTTTAGAAAGACTTCAGCTAATCCTTTCACTTTAAAATTACTACTACTAATAATAAAAATAAAAGAGGGTCATTAGTGCAGCTTGATATATCTCAAATACATCATAATATCGTAAGTTGAGAACTACCTGTATTCCTGATGAAGGAAAGGAACTAAATACTGGTATTCACTATGATATTGATGATTGTTGAAAATGTTTTTCTTAGAAAAGAAGGCAGAGGAAAATAAGTACATACAGTATGTGTTAGACTGGGTTCTCTAGAGAAACAAAACCAGTAAAGCTTATATTCAGAGAGAAAGAGAGATTTATCTTAGGAAAATGGTTCACACACTTATAGAAGCTGGCAAGTCCGAAGTTCTTGGATCAAATGTCAAACTGGAGGCTTTTCCCGACTCACCCTGCTGCAGGGGCTGAGGAGCTCAAGGTTGGCAGGCAATATACTGGCTGCTGACTCTAACGAATGATGAATCCAAGATCTCCAGGCCAAATGGTGGATTGTTCACTCACGGACAATGTAGGCAGCACAACAGAATCCCAATCCACAGAAGAGTGTCTCCTTTCCCAGGATGTTCACAAATATACTGGAAGCAGGCCACACCCCTAGGGAAATTCCCTTTCAACAGATTGGCTGCTCAAAACACACATCTGATCCCATCATGGGAATAACCACATCACAACTGCTTAAACAACACAGAATTGTGATCCTGCCAAGTTGACCCATAGCTCCAACTATCACACGGTATAGTTGAATTTTTATGAAATTCAAGAACATGAAAACTTAAATATTTAGTGTCATAAAGCAGACCAGTGAATGTCTGAGGCTGATAATGGGGGGCTGACTGTAGAAGAGGCACAAGGGAACTTGTGCAAGTGATGACAGGGTTTCGTATCTTGTAGCGGTAGGGGTGCATCCATTTGTTAAAATGCTTCACAGTATTCACAGGAACTAGATGCCTTTTACTGTAAGTAAATTACATGTCATAATTAATTTTTTTAAAAAATAATGCTTGCAATTTCTGAATATTTGAATGCCTTTTACAAGAATTAGGTAAGAGAATTTGCAGAGATGCAATCTCTTAGATCTCATCCTTTTGGTTCTTCAACTAACAGTATCACAGTAATCCTAAAGGGAAAAAGATGAAATCCTAATTGCTTTCTAAAATGCTTGGGCTTATGGTCAAATATTACCAACAGCTTCACTTGGCAGGGTGTTCTCCCCTCCCTTTACTCACCATCTCTCCAAGTGTCTTTCCTGTGTCAGCTATACAACAGCCTCAAATGAGGGGTCCAGATGGAAGCCTCTGGAGCTTAGTGCCTAAGGCACTTGACTGCTAACCAGAAGGCTGGTGGTTCAAACCCACCAGCCACTCCTCAGAGGGAAGATGGGGCAATCTACTTCCGTAGTGATACTGCCTTGGAAACCCAAGGAGGGGTTTTCTATGAGTTGGGTCTGACTCGACGGCACATAACAACAACAAAAAGATGGAAGCCATAAGTGTTTATTAGGGTGGAGGAGCAGAGCTATGAGAAAGCAGAGATTGTACACATGAATAAAGAGAGATCAGCACAGATTGTACACCTGATTTTGTTTTAAAGAGTATAGAGAATGAATGTTCCAGGAGAGAAGAACCTCTTGAGTGCAGAGATAGGAATGAGCAATGGAGAGACTGACCCTCCTGAAGCAGAGAATTAATTCCTCATGGAGATCCATAACATATAATAATGGACCTAGATTGCAAAGGATTGCTAGTCTAGGGAATATAAACGTGTTTGAATATTATACATTGTCTTTGAATTTTAAGACATGCACCAAATATGTTCCTAACACAATATGTTACACCTCATGCATGAGTTTCAGTAAGATACTATTGAGGTCATAACATAGATGCATAGATTATAACAAGTAGTCACTGGAATTTGTTAAGCCTGGAAATGATAAGATCAAAGAATAATTGAGGATTAATATAATCAAAGAAAAGAAACCTATAGTAGCTTGGAATAGTCTTAAGATCCTGGAATAAAAAAGCTAGGTTTTAGAACCTGTTCTATTCTGTAATTTTGTTTCTTTTTCTTTTTAATTTTTTCAAAAAGTTTTTGAAAAACTTTTTTTTAAAGATAGGGTTATATTATATCATTTCTGAAGTCCTTTTCTGTTTCTAACTTTCTGAATCTACAAAAAATGAGTGAAACTTTGTATGTATAATTATGATGATGTGATATTAATGATAAGTAATCATAGAGGGGTTTTGGTATATTTCACTGCATTGAAACAGGGAATGAGATTAAGGATGGAATTTGTAAATAAATCTTTCCATATTTTCTTGTAGGGATTAATAATTTCATGAAAGAGACAGTGAAGAATTGTAGAAGAGATGGGTTTGTTCAGACCATTTTGGGAAGGCGCAGATATTTGCCAGGAATTAAAGACAACAACCCTTACCATAAAGCTCACGTATGTTGAAATTTCTCTGGGTTTTTAACCTAACATTATAATGACATGTACTTTTTCAAAGACTAAACACTGTTAATATCCCTTTCAGGGACCACTAGCATATTAATTGGATTTTCTGTTTAAAGCCAACCACTGGCTTCATTAAGGTTTTCTGAAGTGATGGCACATGTGGTATCTATAGAACACAGCTTTTGAGAGACTAATATAAACATGGGTTTCTTTTTTTCCCTAAATTTTATATATTTAGTTGTTATTGTTGAGAATATACACAGCAAAACAGATACCAATTCAATGGTTTCTGTATGTACAATTTAATGACATGGATTATTTACTTTGAACCGGGCAACTGTTCTCACCCTCCTTTTCTAAGTTGTTCCTCCATCATTAACATAAACTCACAGCCCTCTGGTTTCTGTCCAATCTTTTGAGTTGCTGTTGTCACTTTGATAGATCTTAAAAGTACATAATACTCAAGGCAGATCTTTTTTCACTAGTTAAGCTAAATAAACTATTGTTCGGTTTTAAGACTTCAGAGGATTCTTTTTGGTTTACGGTTGAAAGATTATCTTAGGGCAATAGTTTCAGAGATTCATCCACCCTCCATGGCTCCAGAAAGTCTGGAGTCCATGAGCATATGGAATTCTGTTCTGTAGTTTTCCTCTTTTGATCAGAATTCTTCTATGGAACCTTTGATCAAAATGTTCAGTAATGGTAGTCAGGCACCATCCAGTTTTTCTGGCCTTAAGGCAAAGGAGGCAGTTGTTCATGAAGGCAATTGGCCACACATTCTAGTCGGTCCAACTTGATGGCACATAACAACAACAACAACAAGCTAAAGAAATTCTAGTTCAATAAGCTAGTTATTTATTAACTTTGTTTTAAGTTGTAAATAATTTAAGTCTTAGGAGCTCTGGTAGCATAGTGCCTAAGGCACTTGACTGCTAACCAGAAGGCTGGCGGTTCAAACCCGCCAGCCACTCCTCGGAAGGAAGTTGGGAAATCTACTACCATAGTGATACCGCCTTGGGATCCCAAGGAGGGGTCTCTATGAGTTGGATCCTACCTGACGGCATGTAACAACAACACCAATTTAAGTTTTGCATTTGCTAATTGTTCTTTGTTTCACATACCATATATATGAATACATGTCCTATCATTCAGATTGCTCATGTTCCTCAGAGATTAGCAATTCATTAAATTATGATTTTTTAAAAAAATTCATTCTACTTTTGTAATTATTTTAAAAGCACTGTCTAAGAGTTATTAGGATACCTAATTAAACAGAGTTATTTTTAGGAGCTCTGGTAGCGTAGTGCCTAAGGCATTTGACTGCTAACCAGAAGGCTGGCAGTGCAAACCCACCAGCCACTCCTAGGAAGGAAGATTGGGCAATCTACTTCTGAGGTGATACCACCTTGGAACCCCAGGAAGGGTCACTATGAGTCAGATCCAACTCAACAGCAGTGAGTTTGGTTTCTTTTAACATCATTTTAAAGATTTATTGATGATATTTGCTTTAAATTGTGATTAAAATAATTTCTGAAATCATAGAGATTCATGTAAGTATTCCATGTATCTGAATATTCAAGCTTCTATTACAGTCCAAATAGTCCTATTTTAACCAGTGGTATTCTCTCCTTTCCCCTCATAATTTTGCATGTCAGTGCCTAGTACACATGGTATGTAATGAAAATACTCAGCCCCAATACCCTTAAACTTCTATCTGGAAACAAGATGCTTTCAGAGCACTGATACCCTTAGTTACCACGGAGGATTAGTTGGTTTTTTGTTATTTCTTCACTCTCTAGGCTCCCCTATACCCACATGCAGATATTAATCAGGCTTTTGCCAGATCGCTAAGGGAACTAGCCAGTAGTTGATGCACTAGGAAAAATACATCTTTATAATACTTATAAAAATATATTAAAAAAAAATAACACCACACACACACACACTAAGTTAAGGAGCCCTGGTGGCACAGTGGTTAAAGGCTTGGCTGCTAACTGAAAGGTCAGAGGTTGGAACCTACTAGCTGTTCGTGGGAGAAAGATGTGGCAGTCTACTTCCGTTCTTCTGTGTCCCATAGGGTCACTGAGTCAGAATTGACTTAATGGCAGTGAATTTATGTACTCAATTGTTTAACCTTCAGGAGGAGATAGATCTTGAACAGATTCTTGAAGATGATTTAAAGTTTAGATTGTCAGGAAAGAGAAACAGACAATCATAAGTGGATAAATGTTTAAGTGGGGATTAGAAGTCAACCTGGTAGGAATGGAGAGGCTGAGTTGTCCCTTAGTAGGCGATAGTTTTCTACAAGCCAGATGGAGCCAGCTAGTGGAAGGATGAGGAATGAGAACTTGCTCTTACGGGAATTAATTATGTTTCTTGGGATTTATATGATGAAAAATGGAGGATAGAAATATTAATGTAAATACACAATAGCATCTTGTGAAAACAAATGTTTTTATACCTAAAGATGTGAAAGTAATACCTTTTCATGCAAAATCCTTAAGAATTAAAGTTCTACCTAATTCATTACGTTATTATTTTTTTCTTTTTTTATTTAATTTATTTTGTTATTTTTTATTGTGATTTGGGTGAAGATTTACAGAGCAAATTCACTTTCTATACAGCAGTTTACATATACTTTGTCTCATAACAATTACCATCGTTTACCACAATGAAACAGCTCCCCTCCCCCTTCCTCCCCATAGTTAACTCTTCCCAGTGTCTATCCCTCCATTCACTCCTGCCCCCTGAGCTGTCTCCCTGTGCATAGGTAGCCCTTCTTTCTCAATGATTGTTCTCTCTAAGGAGTGTATCTACCTTAGGTAAATGTTCAGCTCATATGCCTGTCTTTTGTTTGGCTGGAAACCACAGGTGTGGGTTCAATTCCAGACCGGAAGGGCAGCTAGGGGCCATAGTCTCAGTGGTTCCACTAGGCTCTATCAGACCACCAAACCTGGTCCCCCCCCCTTTTTTTTTCTCCAAATGATTTTGAGTTTTGTTCCACATTGTTCTCACTCTT